CAACTGAGTTTTAAGGAGCGTCAATTGGGTTCTCCTTTGTGGCACTCTCTGTTGGGGTTGCGGAGACGTAGGTGAAGAACTGTTTCCATTTGAATTTTCAGCATTTTCCATATTATCAGCTTCTTCCCTGTTTACTGCACCACTGGTAGATGGCTCGGAAGCTGCGCTGTCTGTGTGGCTACCACGAGATGGGCCTTGTGGCGTACCACAGTGCCTGCCGGAGACTCCCGCAACGGCGTCATAAATATTCACCAGCTGCGCAACTTCCTCTTCCAAAGCAGTCAATTGTACCTCCCTATTTGGACCTCCACCTGTTGCTCGCATTTGTATTCGGTTGTTAGACAATTTTTTCTTTATGGAGGATTTAAAATCTGACCATACCTGAAAATAGTTCAAGTTTAATAAAATTGGTTTATAAATAATCAACTTTCTTACTTTTTTCCACTCGGCAAGGGACTTTGTTGGAGGTCCTAACGCATTTAAGTCCGTGCTAAGTGATGTCCAGAACACGGATACTACCTCTGGTGGCTCATTGGACATACTTTTGGCAATGCCCCCGTTGAGCTTCATCCGTTCAGCCATTAAAGCGAATTGTTCTCGGTTTGTGGTACGACTTCTGTTAGAAAACATAATAAGCACATATAATTTACTAAAAAATGTTAAAAATAAGTCACCTTTTATTGAACTCCATCTTATTGCGTGATATTTTCAATTTTTTTTATTAAATCCGCAACAATTATTCAGCGAATGACACTTAGAGCAAAAGACACTTATTGCGTTTCGATTACGATTATGGGAATACAGTGAATCCGCGAACTGCTTTATCAACAAATTTTTATTCGCGAACTCCATTGCCGATCGGTTATGAGAATACCAGATCTTCTCAATTCGATTCGCATTCCCCGCGGATGGCATTCGTCGGATACCGTAATAGGCATGGCCGTTGCTACCAGTAAAGGCAATGGTAATGGCGGAGATGGCGGGCGGTATTGCTCGGTGGTAATGGTGTCGCTGCAACCGACAGTAGATTGAGTTAATTTGTTTACTCGAAGCAATGGCAAATAACAGCAACAAACAATCAACAAGCTAGCATTAGCATGATCGCAAGCAACAAAAACAATAAATACATAAGTACATACATAATATGACTACGCCAACACAGGCGGCTACATTGGCGACCACAAAAATCAGCGAGTGCTGTAAACAAACAAGCAAACAACGTATACAAATGGATGGACGGACGGACGGGCGTACAAACAAATAAACACCTTATGTACATTTGTATCCTATATTCGGTCGGTCGGTCGGTCGATGAGGACGAAGACTGTGCGGTGGATGATGAGGACAACGATTATGCGGAGAATGGCCAACGATGTGTGGGAGATAGATAACAAAGAGGTGATAATTGCACTTAAATGCAGCACATATCTATATACATATGTATATGTATGTATGTATGTACATGGCTGCATACACGCGCTCCCACAAACGTACGCACATTCATACATACTTTGTACTGGTTTATATTTATGTATTTGCCACAATATGTATAAACACAGACAACAATCGGTCGGACCAATTGCGACTTAATAGCCTCCGCCTTATCGCAATTACGCTGGTGGTCGCCAACGGTATCGGTATTCGGTATTTACTTAATTTACCCGCCAGGGGCCATTGTGTGAAACATGGGAAAATCAAACCTCAATAATGCGTAGACCATTTTTGTTGTTCGAGTATGTATGTATGTCCATACATATGTATACATGCACATAGTGGTGTTCAATGGCATTTTGCTCGACAGGACATCGTTATTGCTTAT